TGAATCTTGAAGAAACCGACGACAGGAACGAACTGGACGAGGAATTGCGATGTTCCTTTGGGAATAAGCGATAATATCAGGCAAACCAAATTCAAAAATTGTCTTCGGTTGTTTAATGCTGATTGCATCTGAGTCGCCTTCTTCGACTAGTTCTACCCTCCTTTATCGCACTTGCAAGCTCTTCATTTTCACAATTTGTCTTTCCCACATTTTCCCGCCATTTTGGTCAGCAATAACCATCGTTTGCAGTAGTGTCTCTTTTATTTTTGCAATTAAGTTCGATTACATTAGGTTCAACATTTGAATCAACTGCCGAACTTAATTATTTGGGTCGACCCAAATTTGTATTAGGTTCGGCACATGTAAAGTTCGAAGTTTGAACCGGGCCTTAGTTTCCAGTGACTGTTTTGAAAGAAACTTAACAGCCATTTTGCAAGCTTTTTCCGTATTCTTAATTATGATATTTAAAAATGACCATTAAAAGCTATTTTTTAAATTGTGGGAAATCGTAATGGTTATGATTAATTGGTAACAGGACATTGTGTCGTCCAATTCAGTCTGTAATCACACTCGTGATTAACAAATCGGACTCCCGCTTGGTATTTTTATTTTTATTCATCGATTATTTTTGTCTCTTAATCATATGCACTGAGACCTTCACACGTACATTCACTATATAACGAACTCGCATAACGTATCTTATTTGAATTTAAGAATGATGGCATGGAGCCGTCGAAACGTCATTCTTCTTTCCAATTACTTAAATTGAAAAATTTACTGCGATGATCATTCCTCACTTTCATAATAATTCTTGGTACATTTCTTTGCCGTCTGTCCTCTAGTCTGGAGAACGATAACCACGACGGCTAATTCTTTAAATTTCTATTTCAAACTTATCGCTGTGTTCCAGACTTAGTTATGTGATAGTTTTAGTTTTGACAGTGATAAACAAAGTAAATGACTTTAGAGCTGGTAGTATGGCGTCTCCGACACGCGCATGCAGGTAAACAAACACACCTGTTTGTTTCTTCGATCTGCCCAAACAAAATGGCGAAGAGTTTTAAAACGTCAAAAACATGCTCAACAGATGATACGTACAATGAGTAGGGTCTAAATCATATCTTACGCGGGCAACGAGTATGACATAGCAGCGTTTACCATAAAGATGATCAATATTTACTGAAGCTTAACTTAGGGCGACACACGTTTCAAGCTACGGTGCATCATAACAATTCAAAACTTATTTCATGAAATCAACACTTTGTGGACCGTTTACATATACCTTACCAATAAGCTTACTTGTGTCTTAAAAACTTACCTTAAAGCAAATTAGAGGTAAAACGAGCCAACGCATTGTTTGTCTCGTAGCGGCCATTTTGAACCCCACAGCAGCAAGAATAGGCACCAGGACGGGAAGAACTAGGACGGCTACCGGAAGTAAATTTACTCCACGGGGCATGCGCACGAGAACTCTCCACTAATCTCTCTGCCGTCCTTGTCTCGTCGAGGACGTCATTTCGCCCGACTAGCCGTCGCATCGAAAACGTGAGTATTTTGCGCTTGTTTTGCCCCGATAAATGTTCTTATTATGGAGTCCTTGATTGTGAATACTTGTTATTTATTCCCTTACAGTAAATTACAG